AGAAGGATTCGCCATCATATTTCGCTTTACTTTCATCTCGAACATTGTCTTTAAATGAAGCTGTCGCTTGTGGTAAATATCGATAGTGTAAAGAACCGAAACTCCAAAATAACGATCGTGATATCATCCTACGATCTCTGTTTTCGGGACTAGAACGATGGATACCGATCGAGTTGTTTGAACCTTTCTCGTGCTTGCCCGACCCGTTGAAGTGTTGAAACTGAAAACTGGGCAGAATTATATTTTATTCCTCAATATATCAATTACAACAAATAGGCCCTTTAAATATAAACAATATTATGTAACTAACTCAATAACTGAAATCTAACAAACTTAACAAACTAACAGAATATGCAACTACACTTAAAATCAGTTAACACTTTCTACACTCTCCCTCAAGGTGGTGGTTGTAAAGATGTCTTTAAACCCCAACTTGGAAACTAGATATTCATGTTGATGTACACCCAAGGCTTTTGTCATTTAATCTGCTTGTTGCTCCCCTGTCTTGATATGTTCTGTTTGTATCAAGCCTTATTGAATCTTTTCTCTGACAAAGTGACAATCTATCTCAATGTGTTTAGTTCTCTCATGGAAAACTGGATTAGCTGCTATTTGCAAAGTTGCTTTACTATCACACATTAGCTTAGCTGGTGCTATATTTTTCAAGCCCAACTCAGCCAACAACCCTTTTGCCATACTATTTCTGCAGCCGTCCCTACCATGCTTCTATATTCTACTTCTGCAGAAGAGCGTGCAACAGTGTTTTTCTTCTTAGACTTCCAAGAAATTAGAGACTTTCCAAGCTTAATACAGAAAACAGTTATAGACCTTCTGGTCATAGGACAAGTAGCCCAGTCATAATCACAATAGGCAAACAACTTGCACTCACTCGCAACACTTAAAAAAATCCCCTGTCCTGGATTTTTCTTGATGTATTTTACCACTTTCAATACAACTTCAAGATGTGATTGTTTTGGTTTATGCATGAACTGACTGAGGAAATGTACAATATGGACAATATCTGGCCATGTGTGAGTCAGATATATTAGTCTACCTATAAGTCTCTAAAAACCAGTTTTATCTTGCAATAGTTGTTCATTGCTACAAACTGCTTCATCATACTCAACTGTAGTAAACTTCTTGTTTTGCTCAAGAGGTGTCAAAGCTGGTTTAGCTCCCCCTGCTCCAGTTTCTTCAATTAACTCTAGAGCATACTTTCTTTGATTCAGCACAATCCCTTCTTTTGATCTTAGAACCTCTAATCCTAGAAAGTATTTCAACTCTTCAAGATCTTTCATTTTGAAATTCTTATTCAAAATGTGCTTCAGTTCTGCTATCAATTTCTCATTACTCCCAGTGATTAAAAAATCATCAACATATACCAACAAAACAACTATATCACTCCTTTGTTCCTTAGTGAACATTGAATAATCATACTTGCTCTGTATGTAACCAGCTGTAAGTAATGCTTCTGATAGCTTCAAATTCCATTGTATGGAGGCTTGCTTCAGTCTATAAAGTGATTTATGCAGCCTACAAACCTCAGACTCCCCCTGGCTGTAAAAACCATCAGGAAGTGCCATATAGATCCTCAACTAAGTCACCTTGTAGGAATGTATTATACACATCCATTTGATAGAGAGGCCAAGAAAAAAATAGAGGCAATATGAAGAACAGTTCGAACAGTGACTAGTTTAGCAAATGGAGAGAAGGTATCCACAAAGTTAACTCATTCTCTTTGATTGAATCCTTTAGCAACAAGACGAGCTTTGAAACGCTCAACATCTCCATTAGCCTTGTACTTGATTCTGTATACCCACTTACAACCTATTGGAACTTTCCCTGAAGACAGAGTAACTATAGACCAAGTGTTGTTTGACTCCAAAGTATCAATCTCTTCATGCATGGCTTAGATCCACAAAGGGTTGGTGATAGCTTCAGTATAGACTTTTGGTTCACTTAAGTGAGAAGTAGAAGATAAGAAACTTTGAGTTTTAGAAGGTAAGTGAGAATAAGAAATGAAATTGGAAATGGGATACTTACTTGGAAGAGATGAAGATTGGTAGGATTGAACATAATCATGTAGCCAATTAGGGGGTTTGATAATCCTAGTAGACCTTCTTTGAGGTAAACACTGATTTTGAGGTAGAGGAAGTGAACTAGAACATGGACTTGAAGATGGAATTGGTAAACTAGTTGAAACTTGAGGTGATACAGAAGAAGAAGAAGGAGAAGAAGAAGATAGAATAAGTGAAGCAGAATTTACTGGATTAGATGGTGCATAAATTTCGAGAGTAAGAGAATCAGAATCATCAATGAAAGGCTGAGTAGGAAAAAAAAAGGAAGGAATATTTAATGGAAATGAGAAAGGAAAGATAGTCTCATGAAAGACTACATCACGATTACAAAAAAAGATATAGTATGAAGATAAAAAAGAAGATAGCTCTTTTGAGTTGATGAATAACCAATAAAAACAGAAGGTAAGGCCTTTGGAGAAAATTTATCCTTATAGTTAACTTTGGTTGCATAACAAAGACAACCAAATACTTTCATATGAGAAAGATTAGGTGATTTTTTTATAGAAGGCTTCAAATGGGCTTTTCCAGTCTAGAACAAAAGTAGGGAGCATGTTAATGATATAACAGGCTGTTAAGACACACTCACCCCAAAATTTAATAGGAATATGAGAATGAAATCTAAGAGCACGGGCTACCTCTAAAAGATGTTTTGTGTTTTCGTTCAGTAACCCATTTTATTGGGGTGTGTGAACACAGGAGCTTTGGTGAATAATGCTAAGAGATGAGAAGAGTTCAGAACAATTATCACTAAAAACCTCACCACCATTATCACTACAAACATACTTAACTAAAGCTGAATGATGAGTTCGAACAAGAGTAAAAATTTGTTTAAGAAATAGAATTGCATCACTCTTAAGTCTCAACAAGTAAACCCATGACAACCTAGTGTGATCATCTACAATAGTAAAAAAAAAAGATCTATGACCACTGTATGCTGAAATTCTATATGGACCCCACAAGTCAACATGAATTAGATCAAAAGGTTTAAGGGACCTAGATGAACTAATTGGAAAGGGTAATCTAGATTGTTTTGCAAGAGGTCAGATAGAACACTGCTTAACAAAATTTTCATTTAAAGGAACATAACACAAAAACAGAGTTTTATGCATTTTAACAGAAGTAGCATGCCCTAAACGTGCATGCCAAAGCATTGTATTATTATAAGATGAAACAGAAATACAACCAGAACCAACTTTGCATTTAGATGATGACAAATCAGAAGTAACATTTGTAGAGGACAAACCAGAAACAAGGTCTTTAAAATTAAACAAATAGAGACCACGAGCTTCCCTACCAATCCCCCTCATCTTCCCAGTTAAGAGATCCTACAAAATGTAGAAATAAGTGTAAAAACAATGATGCAGATGAGGTCTTTAATGAGTTTTGACACTGACAATAGGTTATGATTAAAATTAGGAACATACAACACATTTGGAATAACATCAACTGAGTTAAAATAAAAACTACCAGTATGGGTGATTGAAACAGTTTTACCAGTAGGTAGATGGATAGAACTAGGCTCACATGAAGTTAGAGATTGTAAACAATGGATTTTAGACACCACATGGTCAGTAGCCCCTGTATCAAGTATCCAACGAAAGGAATTAGAAGAAGCAGGTGAGCACATAGAAGCAATACCTGCCAGGTTGACTGCTGCATCAACCGAAGGAGTTTTATTCAAGAGCTCAAGAATTTGATGATATTGAGTTGTTGTGAAGATCAGAGCAGGATTAACCGTGCTTGAATCACCAGAACGAGACTCATGATCAGAATCAACCAGTGAGGGATTGTAACAAGAGCTGCTTGAGAATTCCTCTTCTTGGTGAATTTGAAGTCAAGAGGAAACCCGATTAAACGATAGCAGTTGTCTAGCTTATGGCCTTTTATTTTGCAGTAATCACAAACGCCAGTGAATCACCTTCGATCAGAATTTCCAGACGCATTAGAGTACATGGCAGTAGCAATTTCACGATGCAGAAAATAAATTCTGGATCCATCTACTTGTCGAATCGCTCCTTCAAATCATTCCAGACATGATCAGTGCTTGAAGCAAACACGATTCCAGCCGAGAGATCACTGCTTACTGTGTTGAGAATCCATGACAAAACAAATGCATTACAGCGTTCCCATTGAGAGTGCAAAATCACATCGTAATCTTATTCGTAGAAAGTGTCGTCAATGAGACCTAACTTGTTCTTAGCCAGCAACACGATTCTCATAGATCAGCTCCATATGTTATAATTGTCGATGTTAACCAAGCGATGTAAAACCAGAACGCCGCCCGGCGTATCAGATGGATACAAAAATAAAGGATGGTTGAAGTCGAGCACGGTGGTGGTAGTGGCGGTGTCAGGAGTATCCATTTCATCGAAGGGAATTTGTGCAAAGCAAGAGCTAATCTAGAAGAAAGGATTATGGGTCGAAGGAAGGTACGGGCAGAGTAAGGGCGGCCCAAGAATAACCTGGGCTAAACTGATACCATGTTGAAACTGAAAACTGGGCAGAATTATATTTTATTCCTCAATATATCAATTACAACAAATAGGTCCTTTATATATAAACAATTTCCTGTAACTAACTCAATAACTGAAATCTAACAAACTAACAGAATAAGCAACTACAGTTTAAATCAGTTAACACTTTTTACACGAAGTCGGGATAAGCAGAGAGGGAGGTCTTGGTATTGTTGTAAAAGCCATGGTTTGATTCACATCCCTGCAAGGGAAACTGATGCAGAATGATAAATGGTCTATCCTCTGAGATAGGCTTAAAATACAACAATGTGAACGTAAAATGTCAGATTTTAGGATTAGAATGGAAATTAAACCTCGTAAAGATCGAAAGATAGAATGTGTTGACTTATGAACTTTATGTTGTTAACATCGACCAATAACATATGACAAATTGACATGTGCAACTCCGATGAACGGGACAAGGACCATGTCCACAAGAAGATGTGCGTCCTCGCCGTCGGTCACAGCTGCGGCCACTTGCTTGATATCAATATTGAATATTTTGGTACTGATGAACTTCTGTTTTATATCTCCGAGCGGTAATTTTTCTTCTTCTTTTATTTTATAATCTCTAATTGATTCTTTCAGGTTGTACTAGTTGGAAATTAAACGAGTACTAGTTGGGAATTCAACGAGTACGAGTAATTTCCCTATAACCAGATTAGTGAGAATGCGAAATAAAAGAGGAAAAATAATACCCGAAATTGATAACGGAGTTCAGCCAATTTTGCATATGTCTCCGGACTGCTGCAGATTTTTTACTAAGAGAGAAAATTTACAGGTGTTTACAAAACACTCACTACTCACAAGAACGCTCTCTAGTATTGGGAGAAAGAAATGATTTGGGATGATTTGAAGCTAAATGAGCTAGGGTATTTATAGTTAAAGCTTAAGGATTAATCTTGTAAATACCCTAAAGTTTAATGACTCAATTTTGTAATTATCCATTGCCAATTTCAACTAAAATTGGTTGTCTAACTTTGAATTCAAATGCCCATCGGCTGCCATCTAGAATTGTTGGTTGCTTTGAATTTCAATAATCTCCCACTTGAAGACTGATTTTAATCTGTCTTCACACCTCGATCAATGCAGCAACATTTCTGGTCTTGTTATTCTAGCATGCCAACTGAAGCTGAACACAACTTCAGTTTGTCCGTACTCACCGTCTTTGTCAACATGTCTGCCGGATTTTGAGCTCCACTAATCTTTTCAAGTTACAAAATCCCATCTTCCAGAAGAGACCGGATAAAATGATATCTCAATTATATGTTCTTCGTTTTGGAATGAAAAGACGAATTCTTCACTAGATGGATATCACTTTGACTGTCGCAATACAAGACATGTTTTTATTGTTTCTTGCCTAACTCTTCCAAGAAACTTTGGAGCCAAACCATCTCCTTATTGGCTTCCGTAACAGCGATATATTAAGCTTCAGTTGTGGAGAGAACAACTATCTTCTGTAGTTGAGAAACCCAACTCACTGCAGTGCCTCCTAAAGTATATACATACCTCTGTCTTTGGTGGTTGTTCTTTGGAGTGTCTAAAATGAACACCTAAAGATGTACTTACTAGTTTAGCATCTTGCATGTTGAACCTGGAGAGTACTTTGTTGATGTACTCAGCCTGCGATAACATCAAAGTCCCCGACTTTGTGTCTCTCTTGATCCTCATCCCAAGAATCTGCTTTGCAGCGCCCAGATCTTTTATTTCAAACTGCTTCGACAATTTCTGCTTCAAGTTTATAATCTCTTGCATGTTTGAGCCTGCAACGAGCATGTTATCAATGTACAACAATAAAATAATGAAGCTGTTGTCGAACTTCTTGATGTAGTAACAATGATCTGCTTGGCATCTGGTAAAACCATTGCTACTCATGAAACTATCGAAATTCTTGTACCACTGTCTAGGAGCTTGTTTCAAACCATAGAAGCTCTTCTTCAACCTGCATACCAGGTTTTTCTTGCATGCCTCTATGAAGCCTTCTGGCTACCTCATATAGATTTCTTCCTCTAAATCACCATGAAAGAAAGCTGTCTTCGCATCTAACTACTCAAGATGTAGATTCTCTGCAGCTACAATTTTCAACACCAATCTGATTATAGACAGCTTCACGACTGAAGAGAAAATTTCATTGTAGTCAATACCTTTTTTTTTGCTGAAAACCTTTGACAATCAATCTTGCTTTGTAGCATTTGCTCCCATCGTTCTCTTCTTTGATCCTGTAAATCCACTTTTTATGGAGCGCTTTCTTGCATGGTGGTAATTCAGCTAATTCCCACGTCTGATTTGACATAAGCGAGTTCATCTCATCTTTCATGGAAGACTCCCACTTGACTGAATCCTTCACTTGCATTGCTTTATCATAGTACTCTGGTTCACCATTGTCAGTCAGCAACAAGTAGTGCAAAGAAGACGAATATCGTTGGATTGGTTTGGGAATTCTGGAGAAGCGTCTCAGTTTTGATGTGCCTGGTTCTTCTTGAACTGCTTTAGGACTGATCTGAACATCATTTCTAGAAATCTCCTCGAACTCAGAAAAATCCTTTATTTCAGCTTCAGTATTGGAGTTACTTAATTCTATTGACTTGTCTTTGTACATCACATTCTCATTCCCAAAACCAGTAACCGAACTCATCACCACCATAACCAACAAAGACACATTTGTTGGACTTGGCATCAAGTTTACTTCTTTCAGCAGAGTTTATGTGTACATAAGAAATACAACCAAACACTCTTAAGTGTGAAAGATTTATTTCTTTCTTGCTCCAAACTTCCTCTAGTATTCCACCATCCAAGGGAACTGAGGGCCCACGGTTGATCAGGTAAGCTACAGTGTTGATAGCTTCAGTTCATAGCAATTTAGGTAATCCAGCATGTATCATCATGCTTCTGGCACGTTCATTCAGAGTTCTGTTCATGCGCTCTACTATTCCATTCTACTGCGGTGTCATGGGAACTATTGTCTCCATCTTGATCCCATTATTTGCACAGAAATCTCTAAATCTCCTATTTTTGTACTCTCCTCCATTATCAGACCTTAACCGCTTAACTTTAAAACCAGTTTCATTTTCCATAATGGCCTTCCATTTTCTGAAGGTATCAAAGACTTCTGATTTCTTCTTTAGAAAATAAACCCACATCTTCCTTGTAGAATCATCGATGAAGGTGACATAATATAGTGAGCCTGTAAGAGATGGAACTGTTGATAGTCCCCATACATCAGTATGAACCAATTCTAAATTTTCTGCCTTGGGTGTCTTGACAATCTTTGCAAAACTGACTTTCTTTTATTTGCCAAAAATGAAATCTTCACATAGTCCGACATCTACATTCTTTAGATCCGACATATTCCCTTTTGACAAAAGTATTTTCATCCCTTTCTCGCTCATATGGCCAAGCCTTTGGTGCCATAGGTTTGATTTTCCATTAGCATATGCTACTGCAATGATATTCTCTAAATTTGAGGTTACATAAAGAGTACCAGTTTTTTTACCATGAGCAATGACGAGTGCTCCTTTGGTAATCTTCCATTCACAACCTGAAAAAGTTGTACTATATCATTCTCCATCAAGCTGTCCTACAGAAATCAAATTTCTTTTGAGGCCAACAATTTGTCTCACTCCTGTCAGCTTCTACGTGGTCTGATTTGGCAACTTTAATCGGATATCTCCTTTTTCGACGATCTTCAATGTTTCATCATCAGCTTGATGAACCTTCCCAAAATCACCACTGACATAGTTCTCCATGATTTCTTGGCATGGGGTGGAGTGGAAAGATGCCCATGAATCCAAGATCCATGATTCAATCGGACTGTCGATGCTTAGAATCATGCCATCACCTGTCTCCTCTTCCATGTTGGCAGATTTATGTGCGTCGATATCTTTCTTAAGTGCTCGGCAATCCCTTTTAAAGTGACCCTTCTTGCCACAATTATAACAGGTAAATCTTTCTTTCCCGTTCTTGATTTTCTCCTTTTGGATTTCGATCTTCCACGATTTGAATTTCTTTAGAAGTTCTCCCTCTAGACTCTGTGTGCAAGGCTGAGGAGCTTGATGCTTCACCCGATTCTCTCCGTCGAATTTCTTCACTCAATACCAGATCCCGAACATCGTCGAATTTTAATTTGATGTTTCCCGACGAGCTGTTGACTGCTGTAACAGTAGCATTCCAACTGTCTGGTAGATATGATAAGAGAATTAAAGCTCAAACTTCATCATTGAATTCAATTTCCACGGAACTCAACTGAGTTGTGATTGTGTTGAGTTCATTCAGGTGTTGAGCCACTGATGCCCCTTCCCCCATTCGAAAATTGAATAATCGCCTCATCAAATGAACTTTGTTTGAGGCTGATGGCTTCTCATACATACTGGAGAGAGCCGCTATAAGACCCGTCGTGGTCTTTTCCTTTGCTATGTTGAAAGCAACATTGCGGGATAACGTCAGTCGGATAACTCCGAGGGATTGTCTATCGAGAGGAGACCAGTCTTCATTCTTCATGCCCTCTGGTTGCTTTCCTGAGAGAGGTTGATATAGATTTTTCTGGTACAGAACATCTTCAATCTGCATCTTCCAAAAGCCAAAGTCCGCACCATCAAAACTTCTCAATTTTCACCTTCCATTCGTCTGCAACCATCACTCCCTCGCTTCTTTGGATCGTTTTTGACAATTTTCCCGAACCGCAGTGTATTAGAACACCTCCTTCGACAAATTTGTATCGCCGACAAAATTTTACTATTCACAAAATTCACTATTCATATGAATAGTAACCTCGCAAAAATTGACAAAATTCACAACCAAAAGCTCTGATTACCAGTTGTTGGGAATTAAACGAGTACGAGTAATTTCCCTATAACCATATTAGTGAGAATGCGAAAAAAGCGGAAAAATAATACCCGAAATTGATAACGGAGTTCAGCCAATTTTGCCTACGTCTCCGGACTGCTGCAGATCTTTTACTAAGAGAGAAAATTTACAGGTGTTTACAAAACACTCACTACTCACAAGAAAGCTCTCTAGTATTTGGAGAAAGAAATGATTTGGGATGATTTGAAGCTAAATGAGCTAGGGTATTTATAGTTGAAGCTTAAGGATTAATCTTATAAATACCCTAAAGTTCAATGACTCAATTTTGTAATTATCACTTGTCAATTTCAACTAAAATTGGTTGCCTAACTTTGAATTCAAATACCCATCGGCTGCCATCTAGAATTGTTGACTGCTTTGAATTTCAACAGTACTTATTATCAATTATCAGTTTTCGTTCTTTAATGGTAATGGATGCCTTATAATAGTGTGTGTTTAGTTTTTTACTAGTGAAATTCTGGGCATTTCTTATGGTTTCTCCAACATTCTATAGCTTTTGTTTCTTACTGGGAGATGTGTTCATAGCATGACCTTTAGCTTTGATGATCCATTTAGGCCGAATATTGATTGAGTCGAGTTAAGTTAAAAATTTCGAGTTAAGTTAGATTGGAAGTTCTGTTTTATCATCCAAATTTTATTTAGAACTTTTCGAATCGAGTCGAGTTTTTAGAATTTCTATTTAAAGTTGATTATAAATATTTATAATATTACAATATTAATTTATTCCAATTTAAAGACTTTCTATAACTATATACAATGCATATATATTTTTCATATTTTTTCATGATGTATATATATCATATAAAGTTTGAAGACTCGATTAGAACTTGAAAATCAATGCATTAATAGCCTCAAGTTTTGAGTTATTCAAGTTATTTGAGTTATTCAGGTGTTGCTCACTTTCTAAACCAACTGCAATTAGTTACGGAAGAATTTCAAAATGATGTTTCGAAATCGACATTCAATAGAGAGATGATTGTTTGTTTCCATTTATAGTTTTCAAGTGGTATTTGTTTTTTTTTTATATAAAAAAGATGATGCTTTTCACTGGTCTAATCATCTGAAACGTCTTCGACTGTTTTCGTGCTACGAGATCTCCGATGAAGGATTAAGCGAAGCAGCTTCAAAGCTTCCGTTTCTCGAAGAGCTTGAAATTTCGATATGTCCGATTTCGAAACATGCTGTCGAAACCATCGGTCGCAGTTGCCCTCTCTTGAGATCATTCAAGTTCAATCTTCAGAGATGCAAAGGCTATGTCTGTGATGATGAGGCAGTAGCCATTGCACAAACCATGCCCGAATTACGCCACCTCCAACTTCTGGGGAACGGATTGACGAATGAAGGCTTGCAGGCCATTCTCGACGGTTGTCATCACCTCGAATATCTCGACTTACGGCAGTGTTTCAGCGTTCGTCTGGTGGGGAACTTGGAGAGAAGGTGTGTTGAACGGATGAAGAACTTGCGGCACCCTTGTGATCCGCCTCATGATTATGAATTCAGTGCAGAAGATCTTGATTTCTGGTTCTACCCTTCTGATTGAAACGTTCTAAGTGCTTTGTTTAGGAAGCTACATGCTTTTATTGTTCTAGTGGATGTTGACTAAAGTTCATTTATTTCACTTATTGCTGGGATTAATTTGGAAGAGCAGGGAAGTTTATTTGATAAAACAGATCAAATCTTATTGGACACTCGTTATACTCTTTAAACACTTTATGGGTTAAGGACCAATTGAAAGATATTAATAATAACAAGAAGTATTGTTCTTCCAAAAAAATTCGAGTTCATATCTGTTATCCCAACTAAATTTATTCATAAATAGGAAATGCTGAACACCCAAATTCAGAGATTAAGGAGAGCTTTCCATAACAAAGGTTGTGTCATTAGAATGCTTAAAGATTTTCAAAACGAAGCTGAGAAAAAATGATGGATGGAAGGCAAATATACATACCTAATAAACATTATTCTTCGACAATCTCACAATCTCCGCTTTATCCTTCAAGGCCTTCGAAACACTCTTTTTTGGCATCATGACAGTAAGCTCAAATGAAAAATCAGACAATTTCACAAAATGAAAACAACAATAAAAAAAGAATTTATGATTGCTACACCAAATCCTCCTTATATAATTAGACAAAGCGACATATTTGCAACAGTCGAAATAGTGTGTCGTTCAAGAAGCAATAATTGCAACAAAAATGACTTAATAAATACCAATAATGATCTAACGGTTAAATCTCGAGTCAAATCATTTTATGGAATTCTCTCTATTAAGGACAAATGTTATACCTCCACCAAAGGCATTCGCATACTCCTCTCATGTCTTATAGTTTTCAGAGGACTCAAAAGCATATTCAAGTCTCCGTCACCTAGGGAGCTCCAAAAGATATAAGAAGAATATCTTCGAAAGATGAATTTTGAATATCTTACTTCTTTCAAGAAGTCATAATCTATTGACATGACCTCTGACACATTCATGTGACTTACTAAAACCAAATTCACTTCCACTAAACTTTATCCACTTAGTCTGTTATCCTACTAGTAGTAATAATAATTTTACGTTTGACACCAACTCTAAAAGTCACTATAAAACTTCAAGACCAAGATTGAGAGAAATGATGAAACTCATATGAAATCCTCTTACACTCATTTATTTGTTCTCTTTCTAATTGTCGCTCTCTGTCCAAATTAGGAAGAGTGGACCACGTATAACCGCACAATCTCTTTGTACAAATTTAAAGCTTCTACGCTTTCTTGTGGAATGCTGATGATAGGGAGAATTTAAAATTTAGGGTGATATTTAGTAAAAGAATCGAAAATTCTTGGAACTCAAAATATTTGATACTTTTTTTAAAACAATTTTACTCGGGAAGGGAAAAGGAAGGGAAGGAGAATTCTTAGAACTCGAAGTTATTTTGATAGTTGTTTATAGGGGTGAGCAAAATTCATTCGACTTAAAAAAATCAATTTTTTCGACTGGATCGATTCGAAAAACTCTACTCAAATTGAATACGAGTTGTAATTTCATAAATTCGACTCGACTCGAAAAATTTTTTAAGTTCAAATCGAGTTGTAAAATACAACTCTAATGACTCGAGCAACTCGAAATTTTAGTAATTAGTGGATTGATTTTTTTCTTGTGGAATGCTGATGATATAGGGAGAATTTAAAATTTAGGGGTGATATTTAGTAAAAGAATGCGAAAATTCTTGGAACTCAAAATTATTTTGATACTTTTTTTAAAACAATTTTTACTCGGGGAAAGGGAAAAGGAAAGGGGAAGGGAGAATTCTTAGAACTCGAAGTTATTTTGATAGTTGTTTATAGGGGCGAGCAAAATTCATTCGACTTAAAAAATCAATTTTTTCGACTTGATTCGATTCGAAAAAACTCTACTCAAATTGAATACGAGTTGTAATTTCATAAATTCGATTCGACTCGAAAAATTTTAAGTTCAAATCGAGTTGTAAAATACAACTCCAATGACTCGAGCAACTCGAAACTTTTAGTAATTAGTGGATTGATTTTTAAGATTGAGTCAAGCCCCTCGACTTTGTATGATATATGTATATCATATGAAAAAAATATGAACTATATATATATATATATGGTTATAAAAAGTTATTTCGATTGGAATAAAATAATATCATAATATTATAAATATTTAAAATAGGACTCGTCAATACTATAATTCAAAAAAATTTATTCGACTCGACTCAATCGAACACTCACCTTACCTTAGTTGTTTATAGTAATTTTGGTTTTTTAATATGATATACAGGGACAATTGAATATATGTGATTAGTAATTTGTGTAAAAAAATCATTTTGTTATGGTACTTTGCAAGGCTAATTTAAGTGCTTACCCTTTACTTAACTACCAACCTTGTAATATACCAAGGAGAAAAATGTAAAGTAAATAAAAACTAATGTGATGGGAAGTCCTAGCAGCTTTGGATTAGAGAAAAAGATTAAAAAAACACTATTAGCATTACATATTTTGAAAGGCAATGACAATTTTATTGAATAAAGTAGAAACAAAATATTAAAATATTATACATGAAATTGAAAACAAAATAAATGAGAACAATTATAAAAATAAGACACTAAACTGTCCCAACCAAACTGGCATATAGTTAATCACATGGGGGAGATCAAATCTGGATTCAAATTTCAGTAGCTCCAAAGCTTTTCTCCATTTCAAGCAATTACACTAGAGAAGTATTTGCAATCCTGCTGTTGTTCCAACCAAATTTATTCATAATAGGACCTGAATTGTAGCACCTTAGTTAGCCATTGAAGACTACATGACCCAACAATTCTGCTAATTTTATGGCCGAGAAAGGACTCCGAAACGGAAGAGGTTCATGACTAAGGGATTGAGCAACATGTTGCATGGTTGGCCGAAGTTGAGGATTGGCATTCATGCATGCAAATGCTACTTTAGTTGCAGTGACTACATCATTTGCAGCTCGGCTTTGCGGGGGCGAGAGACGGTGGTCAATCACATCTTTAAGTAAAATTTGTTCATCATTTGGAACAGGTGTTGATGATGACAAATATGAAAGAAGATCACCAGGATGCTTCCCCATCAAAACTTCTATTGCTACTACCCCAAAGCTGTACACATCACATTTCTCATCTATCCTCATTGTATAAGCCAACTCTACATTAAAAAACACATATATATACTATTTGAATCATATCTATATAAGAAATTAACACATCTTATCAAATAAATGAACTGTTGAAAGCACTTTTAGGGGGGGGGGGAATGGTTAATACCTGGAGCTATATACCCATAGGTTCCTGCAAGTGATGTCCAATTGGATGAGTCCGGCTTTAAAACCCTAGCAGTTCCAAAATCAGAGACGCGAGTTTCATAGTCCGAATCCAAAAGAACATTGTTGCTGGAAATGTCTCGATGAACTATAGGTTTTGAATGGTCGTGATGCATGTAAGACAGGGCATTGGCCAATCCTTTAACAACATTTAGCCTCTTTTCCCAGTCTAACAACATTGCTTGTTCATTGTTGCTTAATATCATTCTCAAACTTCCCCTTTCTACAAACTCATAAACCAGAAAAGAATGTTTTGGATGTGAACAAAAGCCATACATCTGCACAATGTTACGGTGCCTTATTTCTAATAAAGCAACAATCTCGCTTTCAAAAGCTTTCAAGTTGTTGAGAAGCAAGCTGTCTTCAGATTGGTGAATCTTCTTCACAGCAACCGCTTGACCAGTTGGTAATGTAGCTTTATAAACAGTTCCATATCCTCCTGATCCAATGCAATACTCGGAGCTGAATTCTTCAGTGGCTTCAATGATGCTATCATGGAGTTCTCTTCCATTAAATCCAAACACAGTGAAAATATCTCCATGTTGTTCCTCCCTCGGCTCTGATTTTCTGGTTGGATTCTTCTTGCAAATAGTAAGGAAACTTGCAGCCAATATAAACAACAAAAGTAGACCACCAAAGAGTGGAAGCATGGCTAATACGATGATTTTGGTCCTTCTTCCATGCCTATGGTTGTCTCGGGGAGGGAGAACACAAGGCCTTAGTCCAGTGGCATTACCACATAAGGCTTTATTGTTGCGTAAGGCATCGAATGAAGCCTCGTGAAATGCATAAGGTCTGGAATCGGACTTCCAATTGATTGAAGGATATATTCACAATTCTCAAACCATGCATATCATTGAAAGCTTCTGGTATGGAACCATTGAGCTATTGTGAGAAAGGTTCAATATTTCCAAGGACTGTATTTTCCAAACTGTTGTGGGATGCCTCCAATAAGTGAGAAAGGTTCAATTTTTCAAATCTAGAGTTGAAGAGCAATAACATCACTTATTGAAGATGGAATGTCCTCTCCAAGATTATTCATGCTCAAATTCAAGTGGAATAATTTCAAGCAGTTTCAAGTTGATCAGGAATAGGTCCACTTAAATTTTTTGATGCCAACTTAAGTTGTTCTAGATTGGAAAGAAGACCGATCTCAGATGGATATTTTCCTGAAAACCGGTTACCACCTAGAAAAAGACGGGACATCATTTTCAATGTTCCGAGTTGCCTTGGAATCTCACCGATTAGATGATTCGAAGAGAGATCGAGTTCCTGCAAATGAGTTGTATGTCCCAACTCAAGTGGTATCTTCCTGTTAGGTATGGCTCATAAATATACCAGTAAAGAGGACAGGAGATGGAGCGGAGTGAGCGAAGCGAACATCAACTGCCCTTACAAAGAAAGTCTCGTTGTGGGGTTAAGAATTATGTGGGTTGGGGGTGCGGGGGCGTAGCCCCCGCGGTACGGTACAGGGTTGATTTTGTAATTATGTACCAGGGTTTTCTATTATAAATAGAGATGTAACCTAGACCTAAAATATCATTGAATAAAAACTTCTAGCGCCGCCTAGGCACCGAGGACGTAAGCACATTGTCGAACCTCGTAAAATTCTCGTGTTCTTTTGTTTTCTTTACCCGTTTTCATCAACAATTGGTATCAGATGTCAGGAGCAAAATTCGAAGTCGCGAAATTCGATGGTCAGGGTAACTTCGGATTATGGCAAACGAGGGTGAAGGATCTATTGGCGCAGCAAGGGATCTTGAAGGCTTTGCGACCTACAAAGCCGGCGTCGATGGATGAGGAAGATTGGGAAGAATTGCAGCAGCGAGCGGCATGAACCATACGATTATGTTTGGCGGACGAGGTCATGTATCACGTCATGCATCTATCGTCTCCAGACGAAATTTGGAGGAAGTTGGAAAGCAGTTATGTCCAAATCCTTAACGACAAAACTGTATCTGAAGTAGCGGTTGTATGGGCTGAAGATGCAGGACGATCACGATTTGGCGCAACACGTGAATGTCTTCAATCAAATCGTTTCTGATCTGGCTCGGCTTGATGTGAAAATTGAGGATGAAGACAGAGCGATGATTCTGTTGTGTTCGTTGCCTCCCTCTTACGAACACATGGTGACTACTCTTACATATGGGAAAGAGACTATCAATGTTGAGGAGATTACTGCAGCCTTGTTGGCTCACAACCAGCGGAAGCAGAATGCAGGGGAAAGTTCTCAAGCCGATAGTTTATATGTCAAGGGTAATCGAGATCGTGGATGGAAGCCAGAGAAGGCAGGGTCCGGGAAGCGGAATTCCAGATCCAAATCCAGGGATAAGAAGACGATTCACTGTTACAAGTGCAAAGAGGCGGGACATATGAAGCGAGACTGTCCGAAGTTGAAAAAACAGACTGATGAGAAGCGTGATGGCTCATCCAAGTCTGTGAACGTGGTCGAGGATGATAATTCTGATTGCAGTGAGGGTGATATGCTTTCTATTTCAACGACACAATTGACGGATGCTTGGATTCTTGATTCTGGATGTTCTTATCACATCACGCCAAATAGGGAATGGTTTTCGACATACTGGCCGGTTAATTCTGGTTCGGTTTATTTGGGTGATGATCGATGTTGCAATATTGTTGGTATTGGTGAATTAAGATGCACGATGGCTCCGTTCGGACGTTGAGTGGTGTTCGACATATCCCAGACTTGAAGAAGAATTTGATTTCCTTGGGCACTTTGCACAAGAATGGTTTTATCCCTAAGGCTGACGAGGATAGGGAAACCATTCGGATTGTTAAAGGAGCATTGACTGTGATGAAAGGCAAGATGACTGCAGGGAATCTACGATTGTTAGGGAGTACCGTTGCAGGTGGAGTTCACTCTGTTGAGTCCTGTGATGATACGACAAAATTGTGGCATATGCGCCTTGCTCATCTTAGTGAACGTGGTATGGCAATTACACAAGAGAAACTTGTTGCATGGTGTCAAAAGCTGTAAGCTCGACTTTTGCAAGTATTGTGTTTGGTAAACAGACTAAAGTCCGTTTCAAGACTGCGAAGCACAAACTCAAGGGATTCTTGATTATGTGCATTCTGATGTATGGGGGCCTTCCACGACATCGTCTTTGGGTGGATCTAGGTACTATGTTACTTTTATTGATGATTTTTCACGGAAAGTTTGGGTGTATTTTTTGAAACAGAAATATGAAGTTTTTGAGAAGTTCAAGCTGTGGAAAGCTGAGGTAGAAAACCAAACAGGACGAAAAATCAAGTGTTTGCGGTCTGACAATGGTACGGAGTACACATATTCACAGTTCCTACAATTCTGTAAGGAGCATGGGATTCAGAGGCATTTACAGTGCGCAAGACACCACAGAATGGTGTTGCGGAACGAATGAACATGTCGTTGAATGAAAGAGCCAGATGTTTGCGGTTGAATGCGGGGCTTCCCAAACACTTCTGGGCTGAGGCTGTTAACATGGCGTGTTACCTTATCAACAGATCGCCAAGGGCATCGCTGGCTGGGAAAGTTGCAGAGGTATGGACTGGTCATGATGTTAGTTTTGATAACTTACGGTTTTGGTTGTCCTGCTTATGTGCATGTACCTGCTGATGAGAGATCCAAACTTGATGCAAAATCGAAGGAGTGCATTTTCTGGGTTACAAGAAAGGTGTCAAAGGATTCAAGTTCTGGGATCCAGTTGCGAAGAAAGTTGTGATTAGTAGAGATGTCGTTTTTGATGAACAATCCATGTTGCAGCAGAAGCAAGACACGACAGTGGTGGATCTCGAGCAGTTTCCAGTTGAGAAACCAGAAACTTCTCAACCGACTTCTGGTGGTTCCATACGGATGATTTGCAGGATTATAGTCTCGCCAGAGACAGGGTGAGACGGACGAATATAAAGCCTCCGAACAGATTGGGTTTTGAAGACTTGGTATCTTTTGCACTTATTGTTAGCAGTGATGATCCGATTACTTTTCATGATGCCGTTATAGTCAGGAAAACGACAAGTGGATGGCAGCCATGATTGAGGAGATGGAGTCTTTGAATCACAATCGCACATGGGAGTTAGTTCCCCTCCTGAGGGTAAGAAGCCGATTGGTTGCAAATGGGTGTATAAGAAGAAACCAGTAGTAACAGAAAAAGAGGGGGAGAAGTTCAAGGCTCGTTTGGTAGCGAAGGGTTTTTCACAGCAGAAAGGAGTTGATTATGATGAAATCTTTTCTCCTGTGGTCAGGCACACTTCAATCCGAGCAGTACTTGCATTGGTGGCTAGTTGGGATTTGCATTTAGAGCAGATAGATGTTAAAACTGCTTTTTTGCATGGTGATTTAGAGGAGCAGATCTACATGCGGCAACCTGAAGGTTTCACTCAACCTGGAAACGAGCATTAGTTTGCAGATTGAAGAAATCTTTGTACGGGTTGAAACAGTCTCCGAGACAGTGGTAAACGGTTGACTCCTATGATCAAGATTGGCTACAACCGATGTGAGTATGATTGTTGTGTCTATGTTAAGAGCCTTGATGATGGTTCTTTTATTTTTCTATTACTGTATGTTGATGATATGTTGATTGCTGCGAAGAACATGGATGATGTTATCGGTTTGAAAACTTATTGAGTCAGGAATTTGATATGAAAGATTAGGTGCTGCAAAGAAAATTCTTGGAATGGAAATTTGCAGGGACAGAGACTCAAGCAAACTGCGGCTATCTCAACGGGGTTATGTTGAGAAAATGCTAGAAAGGTTTGCGATGAGCAGCGCGAAACCAGTTAGCACTCATTGGCGAATCACTTTAAGCTCTCATCAGAACAGTGCCCCAAGACAGATAAGGAAGCTGAAGATATGGCAAAGGTTCCGTATTCTAATGCTGTTGGCTGCTGTATGATGTAGATGGTACTCGTCCTGATTTAGCTCATGCTGTTAGTCAAGTTTGTAAGTACATGTCTAAACCTGGTAAGCAAACATGGGAAGCAGTCAAGTGGATCTTTCGGTACTTAAAGGGTACTGTGGAACATGGAATGTTTTGGGAGTCAGCGGGATAATCCTTTGGTTGTAGGATATGTGGATTCAGACTATGCAGGTGACTTGGATAATAGAAGATCTACGACAGGGTATGTCTTTACTCTTGGTGGAGGGCCTATTTGTTGGAAGTCTACTGTTCAATCTATTGTGGCTCTATCTACAACTGAAGCTGAGTACATGGCAGCGGCTGAAGCTGTAAAAGAAGCTTTATGGCTTACTGGTTTAGTGAAGGAGTTGGGTGTTCAACAAGGTGGAGTTCAGTTGCTTTGTGATAATCAAAGTGCTATTCACTTGGCTAAGAATCAGGTGTATCGTGCTAGAACTAAACATATTGATGTAAGGTTCCACAAGATCATAGAGTTGGTTGCATCTGGAGAGGTTTTGTTTCAGAAGGTACATACTGATGAGAATGCCGCTGATATGTTCACTAAGCCAGTTATGACAGACAAGTTCAAGCATTGCTTGAACTTGTTGAATGTTTCGAGTTGTTAAAGGATCAAGGTAACCCAACCCACATTGAAGTTTCCAAGAGGCAGGATATTCGCCAAGGTGGAGATTTGTTAGGTATGGCTCATAAATATACCAGTAAAGAGGACAGGAGATGGAGCGGAGTGAGCGAAGCGAACATCAACTGTCCTTACAAAGAAAGTCTCGTTGTGGGGTTACGAATTATGTGGGTTGGGGGTGCGGGGGCGTAGCCCCCGCGGTACGGTACAGGGTTGATTTTGTAATTATGTACCAGGGTTTTCTATTATAAATAGAGATGTAACCTAGACCTAAAATATCATTGAATATAAACTTCTAGCGCCGCCTAGGCACCGAGGACGTAAGCACATTGCCGAACCTCGTAAAATTCTCGTGTTCTTTTGTTTTCTTTACCCGTTTTCGTCAACACTTCCCAGTAATGTTATTATTGGAGATAAGCAGGCTAGTTAGATTAGGACATTGCCCCCATTTTGGAGAAAGTTCACCAAAAAAGTTGTTGTCGCTTAATCCAATATGAACCAAATTTGGATATATACCGAAAGCATCTGATATATTTCCAGTGAAGTGGTTTCCTTCAAGCTTAGCTCTAAATAAGCTTTTGCAGTCTCTCAAACTTGATGGGATCGGACCCGTCAAACTGTTGTTGACCACCCAAAGTCGAATGAGTGCTCCACCGAGGCATAAATTCTCCGGTAATGGACCAGTGAGATTGTTGTTGGATAATTGGAAATAAGTAAAATTACAATATGTTTGAGGGATGTGGCCAGACAAACTATTGTCACCGAGGAAAAGCCTTGATAAGCTGGTCAAGTTTCCTATGGAAATAGGGATGACACCACTGAGATTATTTGCAGAAAACTCCAGATGGGAAAGTCAGCTAAGCAATCCTATCTCAGTTGGGATCGAACCAGAGAGGTAATTACTATAAAAATAAAGATATACCAAGTCGCTCAAGTTTCCTATAGATGCTGGTATAGGACCAGTTAGCTGGTTGCCTGAAAAGTCCAAATAATAAAGTGACCTCAACATTCCAACTTCTTTAGGTATAGAACCATTGAGTTGATTGTTATGAAGTTCAAGCCTAGCTAAATTAGGCAAGCCTCCAATAGAAACAGGTATTGTTCCGGTGAGATTATTTTGGTTGAGTCGAAGATCAGAAAGTGAGCTCAACCTTCCTATTGATGTTGGAATATGACCAGTGAGATAGTTGCTTGAAAGGTCAAGGGTGGATAAATTCTGCAAGCCTCCAATAGAAACAGGGATTGTACCTGTGAAATTATTTCGGTGCAGGTCCAAGTAGTTAAGCTTGGAAAGGTTGAAAATTTCTGTTGGAATGGGACCAGTAAGATTGTTGCTCATTAAAAAAATTACTGAAACCGCACTCAACCTTCCTATTTCTCGTGGAATGGAACCACTGAATGAATTTGAATCCAAGGAGATCAAATAAAGACTTTTCAACAAACCAATCTCCGGGGGAATATTCCCAGAAAAAATATTGTATGACAAGTCCAGGAAAGTGAGTCTGGAAAGGTTTCCAATGTGCGAGGGAATGTGCCCATACAAGGAGTTGTTTCGCAATTTGAGTTCAGTGAGAGATTCAAGCATTCCAACTTCTTTTGGTAAAGAACCATTGAATTTGTTGTCACCGAGGTTAAGTGAGATCAAATCAAGGTTGAAAATTTCTATTGGAATATGACCAGTGAGATGATTCCTTGAAAGGTCAAGCGTGGATAAATTCCGCAAGCCTCCTATAGAAACAGGTATTGTACCGGTGAGATTATTTTGGAAGAGATTAAGGTAAGAAAGTGAGCTCAACCTTCCTATATCTAAAGGGATACTCCCAAGGAAATTATTTCGGTTCAGGTCCAAGTTGTTAAGCTTGGAAAGGTTCGAAATTTCTGTTGGAATGGAACCGGTTAAATTGTTGCTCATGAAAAGAATTATTGAAACTACACTCAACCTTCCTATTTCTCGTGGAATGGAACCGCTGACTGAATTAAAACCCAATGAGAAAAAAGAAAGACTTTTCAAAAAGCAAAGGCCAAGTCAAGATAGTTGAGTTTGGAAAGGTTCCCAATTTTATTTTATGAATATTAATTATGAAATTAATGGTTAATATTTTTTTGATTGTGATTTTAGTAGTTTCAGCTTTAAATTTTTAAATATCAATTGGTTAAGGTTTTTAAAATTTTGTTTAGAAACGTTTTAGAGTCTTTTTGATTTAACAAAAAGAGAGAATAGAGTAATGGGGAGTAAATTTTTTTACAAGATTGATTTCAAAAATTATTTTTTAAATAAAAATCTTAAAATTACTTAAATGTTTTGTTATATCTAAAAGGGGAGATTGTTGAAAACATTTTGATGTTTCGATATAACAAATTAAGATAAATGAATTTTAAGGTTTTACAAATGATTTTCTAAATATATTCGATACAATTATTCGAATATCAAAATATTACTCCAAATTCTTTCAGAGTTCAATTTCAATCCTTACTAAAGTGTAAAATTGTGTTTTAATCTTAAAATATTTTTGAAACAATTTTCACAAAGTATTTCGAACAAAAAAACGAGCCAAATATTAATTTTTCAAAGTAGTGTACCAATGCACCATCCAATGCATCGATGCACCCTTGAATAAATTGAATTTCGAATGCATTTTATGCATCAATGCACAGACCATGCATCGATGCACCTCAGGCTTGTTTGAAACATCGAATGTATTTTATGCATCGATGCACCCCTAGTGTACCAATGCACTAAGTCTTCCAACAGTCAAAATATTTGAATTTTACACATAGTGTACCGATGCACATTGCCTATGCATCGATGCACCTTACGCTCTCAACTGTTTTATTAATTGTTTTCACACAATAACGGCTCTATTGACTCCACTAATGATCCCCAACGTTCAGAAATGATCCGAGGTGTATTTAAACAAGCTTAGGAGACATTGATCAATAACAATTAACAAGAATTGAGAGAGAATCAAAGAGAAAGTATCAAACCACAAGTTTGAGCATTTTCAAGCCTATTTCATTCAATATTCATCTTTGCTTTCAAGAACACTTATTGTGCTCAATTGTATTATTTTTTAGTGTTCTTTCTTTGTTCTAGAATTGTGCAAACATCTTGCTTTGTGAGGTTTTTCTGTAAGTTTGCGAAATTTGTATTGTTCTCGTTAGGAGGGAGTGTTCTCAAGAATTTGGGGTATAATTCTTGAGGGATTTGTAAGGTTACTCTTTGTCCTCAAAAGAAAGACAAATTAGTGAATTTGTGGAAAATCCTTAGTGTGGATAGCTAAGGTAGTGGACGTAGACTTTGGTTGAGAAAGTCGAACCACTCTAAATCGCTGCGCAATTATTTTCTATTCTATTTTCTGCAAAAGCTTCCACCAAAATTTTTATTGCCAATTCACCCCCTCTTGGCCAATTCCGTCGATCGATTAACTCAACACCTCCTTTGCAAAATATTTCCAATTAAGTCCCTAAACTTTTAACTTATTATAAAATTAAGCACAAAGTTTTTAGAATTTACATTTTAGTTACTAGCCCTCTTTTTGGAATGTTACACACCAACACTCGGTATATTATCAAATAAGACCACAAGAGAGAACATTAATGATGTTAATTGCACTTAGAAACAAGATCAATTAGGCTGACATAAAACTAGCCTTGATTGATGCTTGAGAAACAACCAGGACACCCAAGTTCCTTTAGAAAATGCTTGTAGTATCGAATGTATAGATTCAGTCTGGATATATCCTTAGGTGGTGCGCGAGGCACTTTAAGCTAACTAGCTTGGGCGCAAGGTCTGACACTCAAGGAGTGGGCTAGTCGAGGGGGTTGACTGATATAGAGATTCTGGGCAACCAACCTTGGTAGACTAGAGGGGTGTGTGAGCTCCGAGATACATAACCCTCAACTACACCATGATGTCTACCATAGAGTAGAGAGTGCAGTATACAAGTATACTCACAATTTCAATTTATCAGTTGATTTGAGCATTGCATGAACACTTCTAGTATGCCTTAGTTGTTAGTGTGACATTAGGCTAGTTAGTTCAGCATTTGAAATTTGTTTCCTTACGCAGGTTAGTCGAGGAGCGGCCTGAGGACTTTTTTCCAGTAGTGATCCAAACCCAGATAGTGCAGAATACATCTCAGGTCATCTTTTTAGAGGGTATGTATACTTGTGGACCCTTTGTATATTTATGTATGAGTCGTAACTCATTTTCATCAATGGTATGTATGTTATAAATATTATTTTGGGAGCTCCTGATGTAAACTCTTTTATTTAAATTGTGGTTAATTTATTTTAGCATCAAATTTACAAATGGTCATTTTTAAAATGGAGGAATTTAAAAGAAAATTTTGGTTAGCCATTCCAGTGATTCTGTGTGACATTCTAATCGGTCGATTATATGTCGTACTAGTTTAGGGTATTGTTACATTTCTCCTAGGCTTGAAGCTTCATTATGAGTTTTTTCATTTGTCATTTTGAACTTTAGTCACTCTCTAACAGCATATTATTTGGTCCCAGCATCTCCTTATTTCTTGTCTAAGGGTCCCATATTGACTTGGCGCTTTTTTCCTTGACAAAAAGATCAAACACGTTGTTGGCCGTATGATATAACAAGTATCCCTTCACCATTATGTTGTCTTTTTCGAGTTTCGCCTTGATGGTGGTGTCGATAACATGGTTGGTTTGAGGATCCACTGCGGCACCAGGGGTGACATCTGTTACGGTATCAGTGTGTGAAGTTGTACGTAGATTTCCTATTTCTCGTGGAGTGGAACCTCTGATTGAGTTATAACCCTAGGAGACAAAAAAAAGAAAGACTTTTCAATAAGCAAAGCTCAGATGGGATATTCCCAGAAAAATTATTGTAGGCCAAGTCAAGGTGGCCGAGCTTGGAAAGGTTCCCGATCTGTGAGGGAACGTGCCCATACAATTTTCTTGAATAAAGTAGAAACACTAGTAAATATTATACATGAAATTGAAACAAAGTATAAATGATAGCTTTACAAATATGATACAAATAGGGTACTTCACCAAATTGGCATTATATAGTTAATCGCTTAGGTGAGATCGAATCTGGATTCAAATTTCGATTGCTCCAAAGCTTTTCTCCATTTCAAGCAATGACACTAGACAAGTACTTGCAATCCTGCGGTTGTCCCAACCAAATTTATTCATCAATAGGACCTGAATTTTAGCACCTTAGTTAGCCATTGCAGACTACATGACCCAACAATTCTTCCACTTTTATGGTCGAGAAAGGACCTGGCAATGGAAGGGGTTGACGGGTAAGGGCTTGTGCAACATGTTGCATGGTTGGCCGAAGTTGAGGATTGGCATTCAGGCATGCAAATGCTACCTTTGTAGCAGTGACTACATCAATTGCCGCCCGGCTTCGCGGTGGTGAGAGACGGTGGTCAATCACTTCTTTAAGTAAAATTTGTTCATCATTTGACACAGGTGTTGATGATGACAAATATGAAAGAAGATCACCAGGATGCTTCCCCCATCAAAACTTCTATTGCTACCACCCCAAAGCTGTACACATCACATTTCTCATCTACCCCTCATTGTATAAGCCAACTCTACATCAAAAACATATATTTGCTATTTGAATCATGTCTATATTAGAAATTAACACTTCTTATCAAATAAATGAACTGTTGAAAGCATTTTCAGAAGGGAAAAAATAGTTAATACCTGGAGCTATATACCCATAGGTTCCCGCAAGTGATGTCCAATTGGAGGAGTCAGGCTTTAAAATCCTGGAAGTTCCAAAATCAGAGACACGAGCTTCATAGTCCGAATCCAAAAGAATATTGTTGCTGGAAATGTCTCGATGAACTATAGGTTGTGAATGGTCGTGATGCATGTAAGACAGGGCATTGGCCAATCCTTTAACAACAATTAGCCTCTTTTCCCAGTCTAACAACATTGCTTTCTCATTGTTGCTTAAGACCATTCTCAAACTTCCCATTTCTACGAGCTCATAAACCAGAAAAGAATGCTTTGGATGTGAACAAAAGCCATACATCTGCACAATGTTACGGTGCCTTATTTCTAATAAAGCAACAATCTCGCTTTCAAAAGCTTTCAAGTTGTTGAGAAGCAAGCTGTCTTCAGATTGGTGAAGCTTCTTCACAGCAACCACTTGACCAGTTGGTAAAGTAGCTTTATAAACGGCTCCGTATCCTCCCGATCCAATGCAATAGTCGGAGCTGAAATCTTCAGTGGCTTCAATGATGCTGTCATGGAGTATTCTTCCATTAAATCCAAACACAGTGAAAATATCTCCATGTTGTTCCTCCCTCCGTTCTGATTTTCTGCTTGGAGTCTTCTTGTAACAAGTAAGGAAACTCACAGCCAGCATAAACAACAAAAGTAGACCACCAAAGAGTGGAAGCAAAGCTAAAACGATGACTTTGGTCCTTCCTCCATGGCTATGGTTATCTCGGTAAAGGAGAACACAAGGCCTTAGTCCAGTGGCGTTACCACATAAGGCTTTATTATTCCGTAAGGCATCGAATGAAGCCTCGTGAAATGCCTTAAGGTCTGGAATCGGACCTTCCAATTGATTGAAGGATATATTCACAATTCTCAAACCATGCAAATCATTGAAAGCTTCTGGGATGGAACCATTGAGC